CGACGCTTACCGACGCTTGCCAACGTTTACCAACGTTGGGCCAACGTCGCTTTGCTAGCTGGGGAGACATCCAGCATCTTATTCATCAGCAGCAGTTGAGCGGTGAAGAGGCTTTCACTGAGGTTGTCAGATACACTTCGGGACGTGCAAGGGACTTCGTCCTCAACCTGAAGTTAGATGGTCAAACAGACGGCAGGGCAGCCATCGACGCTCTGCGAGATGAATTTTCATGTGACAAAGTTACAAGGTCTCCAATGGCCAACTTTCATGCTAGGACACAACAACCAAATGAATCGCCAGGTGATTTTGCAATATCCCTGCGAGCATTACTGCGCAAGGCCGCAGATAAAGACAAGTCTATCTTGGCATTGAATAAAGACGACCTCCTGACATCGCAGTTTATGGCAGGTGTTAGATTCAATGTGGTGAGAAATAGACTGGCACCTATGAAACCAAGGGCAATGTTATTCAAAGAATTGCGCAAGGAATTGCAGATCATTGCCGATGGAACATTGGACATGCGTCAGTCAACATTGTACGAGATCCAAACACCTGATGGCATCCAGGCCATTCTTGAAAAACTATCACCAATGGAGACCAGGCTAATCGACTTGGAGTCTAACCAACCAATGCAATCAAGTGGACATCAGCACCAACAAGCACAGCACCAACCAACTGATCACCAAGCTTGGCATCAGCACCCGGCACACTACCAATGCCAACATCCAGGACAACAGACTAAACAACAGCACCAACGCCCGCAGCCTCAGCACCAACAACAAAGCGATACCTTGCCCACAAGTTGGAATTTAAAGTGCTGCATTGGGCACTTGTAAGGGATTTATAGTTGAAATAAATTTGCTTATAAAATTTGACAGTTGTGTTGAGTGGGTTTCATTTGATTAAAAATAGCTCTCCCATAACATTATATACATTGTGTGATTTTTCAGTCGGTCACACATTGAGCACTCTTGCCTACATGATCTGGTTTAAGCCAACCACGCAGATT